TCGACGAATGGAGAAAATGGTCGAAAGTGAAAAAAATTATTAATTGCTGCACTAATTGACAGTTACAGTTAACTAAGCAACCAGTCAGTGTGTGCACTGTATGCTAACATATTAGCATAACTGCGTTCAGTAATGGTAGGTGGACACAGTGCTTTTAGTACTGAGAGGGTTTTAGCTGTATATTATCAGTGTATTAATAAACTTGAATCATGAAAACAGATGAATGAACTGCCATTAAAAGGATGCCAGTCTGATGAGTCACATTCTAATGACGGGAACAGGAGGGCAGTTCCTCACTTGATCAAAAGACTGAGACTGCTCCACCTTACCTCTCCTGTGACTGCTGTTACATGTCAGACCGAGACAACTTCCACTTTCATTATTACCACTGGCTGCACTCCATTTGGCTGTGCCAGTGTGCCGCATGGTGCACCCGGTGGATGGGCTGCTTTACATGGAGGGCAGGTGGTGCACGAGGCAGCACAGGTTGCTTGAAACCTGAACTATAAGCTATGAGCTGCTATTAACTCGCCGTTTTACCTCCACTGCCATCTACTAGTACATCAGCACTGTGTGTGTGTGTGTTTTGCTTAATGCTCACTCCTGTTCTTGTCTGCAGATATTCATTAAAGTTTGACGACCACCAAAGAGAGGAACCTACACGCACACATTGCCGTCAAGCCCAGTGCCTCACCTGTACAAACTGCTCCCCCTGTTGGACAAAGACTTTCACTACAGGGACTTGTTTTTCACAAGGATTACATGAAGTGCCTGAAACCGACTGACTGTTGCCTGTGAGGATCTGTGTTCAGGGTTTTTTCTGAACCAGACTGAGGTCACCCATTTCCATTCTACTTACTGTTCAATTCAGCAATATTAAACATGTTGAGTTAGGACATTTGGAAGGGAATCCCTTGTGCATTTGACCACACTGTGAGCTAACAGTAGCTGTTTAAAAACAGCAGAGCTACTTAATAAATAATTTATTATACTGCCGCGTTTTATTTTGTTGTAAATTAACGAAAAAGTGTAAAAAAGAGTATTTAATGTCTTTGGTTTTTTTTTTACCCACAATTGCATGAAATGGTTCTCCAAAGTATAAATAACACTCTCGTACAGTTGGTTCCCGGTTGCGGCGCCAGATAGAGGAAGTCACAACGTTACCACTAACAACAAACCTGCCTGGTTTTGATATCAACATTCCTGTGATGCTTCCTCTGTGAACAGAGACAGATACTTGTTGTTTGAATGTATTATTAAAGGTTAATGCTGGCCATATGCTATATTTTACTTATTGTCACAATAATCCTATAAAAAGACCAAAAACAATGAATGTACCTTGCTAATCATCACTTTTGACCCATGCATGGCGGTGTCTGTATCTGCAGCCCTCTGAGAATCCACTGAGAATGGACCTTACAGTGAAGTAGGAGTGTCCAGCAGAAAAACTTATTCTGGATTTTTAATGAAGGACAACAAGGTCATTTCAAAGATTTTAACAAGATAATTCAACTATTTTTTACAGAAAGAACATAGCAGATACAAATATTCAAAGTAGAGCTATTTACATACACGTTAAAACATGTCTGGAGGGGATCTTTAACTTCCAGGGTTTTAGGCTGGGCTCTACTTTGCACTGGGGTACGATGAGTCTCCTACACATACACTACAGGAGAAACCAGAGCCTGGGGTGATACGGTCTTATTTCCTTGCAACAGGGCAGGAGTAGTTTAAATGACTGATGATGTTAAAACTGCTGGATTCCTGACTCTGGTTTCTGCTCTCTGTCAGAATAAGATTGAAACACACCACTGCTAAGCCTACAGCTTATAGGTTACACCCAGTTAATCAACATCTTGTGGACACAATCAAACAATAACTACAATCAGTCCAGTTTACTAAAGGTTTAACCTACCACAGAAACATTCAGGTGGCTTACAAATGAAAGGAGAACACAATATAAAGTGTGTTCATAAGCAGTTATTTGTGCTTGTGCATGAATCTGGAGGGACAGGTAACCATTCTCTAGCCACACTGTTTGTATCTTCATTTCTTCAGATTTGCCTTTCATTTGTCAGCCACATGTATGTACTACAGTATATATACCAACACTGAAAATGTTCAAGGCAAGGCAGTGGGTCACTTGTCCTTGCGAGCACCCTTAGTGACTCTGTGAGCATGTGAAATATAAAACAGATGATTAGCTCAGGAAACAACAAACATTTCATCAAAAAGGATCATCACTTTATTAAACAAAAGTCATTTCAAATTAGCAACAAACTAAATGTAAAACAAAATGTAAACAATGTTCAAATGCAACAGGGTTAAAGATATCTCAAGACTTCATACATGATGTTTAACATTTATGCATAAAATACAGTATGTATACTGTATCCATCACTGATTCATTGAGAGGATAAACTAGGCTTTGCCAGTTTAACAGTAAGCCCATACACAAGACTTTCAAACGGCAACAGTGACGGTCACTGTTAAAGTAGTGTCATTTACTCCCAACTTGCAAGAAGCAGCAAATGGCAACAAAAAGGTCACATTGTACTGAAATGACAAAGAAGAAACAAGTTCAAAAGGGGCCTTTAGAGCCCGCTCTCTTTAGAGAGGCTATGAGCAGTTACAACCCGGCCCTCCCCAAGTCCCTTTGAGCTCTGTGCTCCAGTTGAGCAAGTCTCAGTCAGATTCAGCCAACTTCCTCCTCTCCTGTACATAGATATGCTATGTGCTAGGCTAATCTATGTTGAAAAGACAACCACATCCTGAAGATGGTAGTCACATTTTAGGTTTGCTAATGTTAGCAAAACCTTAGCACAACTAATGTAAATCAGCAAGCCAGTTAGCTTGAATTTGGCTAACAATAGTTATCACATGACACCCAGCTGGCTAACGACTGATATAAATTAGCTAGCTAGTTAACTAACTTAAGATGTGACTATATGTCACCAAAACTGTGATTGGAGCACAGAGCAAAAGGGGTTGGGACTTAAGGCTCAATAAAACCATGTTCTAACAGACCTACTGTACCTATGGCAACAGTAGCAATACTGACTAATAAATAACTAAAGGAAAAAGGGATTCACCCATTTTTCTCCTTAATTTGAAACAGCCAAATTCTCCTCGCCATTGCTAACTCCACTGTTGGAGAGCAGATAAACACACGGTGTCACCCTGACCAACCAATGGGAGGCTCTAGTGCATTGACAAAGGCATGATCCCTCACCAGCTTCCCACCAGCAAAGACACTGACAAAAATGATGAAGCCGGAGCCGCTGTGACCCGAGGAGAAAGGGGAAGTTTAACGTAAACATTTGAACTCTATATAAAAATCTGAACAGGGTTGTGGGGTTGTTTTGTTCTGGGTTGTGGAGAAGGCAGAGCAGTATCATCACCAGTTCCAACCAGAGTCTCAGCATGATCTGGACATGATAACGAATATATATAGCACAGATTTCAAAGTGAGATTCTGGGGATAATAAACTTAAACTAAAATGATAGAGAGCTGATTGTTGTGATTATGTTGATGTGTTGTTGTTTGAGTTGATTTTGAGTCACTGACTGCACAAACTGCAAAAGTAAAGCGTGAAAAATGTCCCAAGAATGAAACTGTAGGCTCCAGGTGCAGAATTAGCTATTAGCATGTAGCTAAGAGCCCTGGATATCAATAAGTTGGTGGATTGTATTGCAGAGGAACTGGTAAAGAAGACAACTCAAACTGTTACAGAGTGTTTAGGCTGTTAAATAAATATTGCCAAAAATGGCCAGGCTCTGTGGTCAATGTTAGCGTTACCACTATAATACCCACGTTACTAATATGTCGGTCTCAATGCTAGAGTTACTTGTGTGAGTGGGGTTCAGTGCTTTTAAGCCATGAATCAGGATACTGTAAATGAGCTGCGTGCTCATCCTTGATTGTTTGATTCATTTTTGCCATTTTCTTAAACTTTGATTCCATCGGGCACGACTTTGTGACATCACGTCTGTGGCGCTGTTCTTCTCTTTGATTTTCTCAGGGCGTTTTATTTTGAAAATGTACCATATGCTCAATGCCAGGGCCCCCTCAACAGATGGACATTAGACCACAGATCCAAATTTGAGAGGATTTCTCTACAGGAATCCCCTCTCAGTTATTTTTAATATTATCAAGTTCATAGTCAATCAATGATCAAACTGGGATCACTATAAATTAGAATCACTAAAAACAGCCAACCCTAGTTCTTCCCGTCTTGTTCTGTCTTCCAAAAGCTGTGATAAAGGATCAAATATTTGGCCCTGACTTCCTGCTCAGCTCTGCTGCTGCCGTGCCCGCTGCAATCAATCAACTCAATTCTTCATTATGGCGCTGTGAAGGTTTATATTTAATCGGTTTTGACCACTGAGCCAATTCTGACCTAACTGGCAGCACAGAAAAACCCTCGTACAAATAAACCACACGCACTTAACCTGATGGAAGTACCACCCCAGTGTTCAACCAACAACCACCGTTTACACAGTGCAGCTCACAAACAAAAGCGTGTATGTTTGTAACTGGTCAAGGATTTGGCCACACCTTCAGTACTCCGGGTCCTGGGCTTAAGAGGGTTGGGTTGCAGCTGACTGGAGTCTAAAACATGCTTCTAAAAAGATACCTTGCATAAAGGTAAGGTACAGCTCACACCGTGTGTTTGACTTGTAAATGACAGAAACTCGTGGTGCAAATCTCCGGATTTGCTGAGCTTAAGAAAGCTGTGGGTATTTGTATTCGGATTGATTTTCCAGGAATGACAACAGCTTCCAGTTCTCCCGCTGTCTGTCTTCTTGCCTCTACATTCGGATGGGACTCACTGCCTCCTATTGCACCTACTGAGCCCATACCCCTATCTGCAGACTCAGAAACATGTTTTAGGCTCAGGCGGTATTAAGAAGAATTTAGAGTCCACGATGTTTGATGATCAGAGTCCAGTCACTCAGAAGGGTTTGGGGTTCAGGTTATGGGATGTGTGGGTGGGGTTCTAGGACAAGGCTCTCCGAGGTTCTCCTTACTTTCGTTTGCTCTTGGTGTCAGTGGTCTGGAAGACGCTGGAGGCAGACATGAGGTTCTCAATGTACTGACCCAGAACCTGGTTCTCCGACTTCAGCTTCAGGTTCTCCTCTTTGACAGCGTCCACTCTGGCGGACAGGTCTGAACACACAAACACAGTCAGCAGCAGCATTAGAGAGGTGTATGCAGGCTAGATGATCGTGATACAGAGGATCAAGTAGGTCAACAGGGAACCACACAAAACCAGACTTTAATTTGATGGTGCCGCTCAAATGTCTTCATCACTATCTGCCATCTTTACCATCAGTTTGTCTTCTTTACAATAGGTTGTTGGCTCTTTTACAGAAGCAATTAGGACCACAAGTGAAAAATCTATTTGAGTTCTAAAGTTTAAAACGTCTATTCTGCCTTTAAACCCGGAACTCAAATAAATCTTTCACATGTGGTTCTAATCCTCTTCCGCTCTCTTCATCTTACCCTCAGCCCAATGTGAAGACCGGGGAAATAATAAAAGCTGTGGGTTTGACAAACAAAGAGCTACAAGCCTTCATCCGCATGTGAAGAGAAACATAAGTTCATCAAAGTGTATCCGACGTGATGTTTGGAAGAGCTGCATATTGATCACACCCGTTTATATATTTTTTTTACAACCACATTTTCATGAAGGATAATCGTTATCTGTACCTGAAGTACACACTGGTCAGTTCACTGACCATTCAAGACTGCATTGTATACATCCAACACAAACACCATTCCTCTGTTCCTGGTAACTTCGAAATATTTGCATCAGTTATCAGTATCAGCTCTCAGTGCTCAGGGCTGTTACAATGGATTTCAGGAGTTGAATATAAGAATAGTAAAACAAAATGATATTTATTGAATGCTGAAATTACTATTGATATGTGGGTGTTTTTCTATAAAAGTGTTTTCTGAACCACAATCTCACTATGAGAACAGTGATATATACACATATAAAGAGTCCACCCTGGCAGTCTAGAGCCTGAAGAACTGCAGCTTGAGCAGACAGGCATTACTCAGGAGGGGACTGTGTTGAGATTGAAAATGTCTATCAAGGTTAGTTCATGTTATTCATTTTGTGCCTAACATTAATTATTACCTGGCAAGAAAGATATCACCTGTCTGTAATCCCAAAGGTTTACTGGTAATGATGGATTGCCCTCTAGTGGACAGAACGTATAACAAGCCCATGCTTACATTGGTAATGCATAAGGCTGTTTATACAGCAACATCAATAACTGGCTACATTTGAGCATGACACATCTGAGTATTAAAAATAAGTAATGAAACTGGAATGGGACTGTAGAGGAAGAGGACGGCAGCACTGTTCGTCGTTTGACCTTTAAAGAAACAAAGGCTTTTCTGTTGACTGTGAGCAAACAGCTGCTTACTGCCTTCACCACCCTCAGTGGAACGTGTACCCACTGTCACAGATCCTGCTTTTGTTCCACTGCTCCTAACCCCCTCTGGAGACAGGTTCCTGGAAATAAATGTGAGCCCTCCACTGCATTGTTGTTACTATGTGTAGATAACCTTTGTCTGTGTAAACTGAAGGTTGTTTGTTCTGTGGGGCGTTCACTACCAGTTTAACCACATTTCCTGGTAAAGTGAGTGGAGTTGTTTTGCTACTAAAGACCCACTTACACTGTGTGAGTTTGGGCTGTCTGAGACTGACGTTGGCAATCGTGAGAGAATGGTGGAGAAATCTCTGGTGGTCGATCCAAAGTGAATCAAAGAGAAAATTGTGCAGCGCTGCCCAATGCTTCGCTAGCCTCTCGCTAACTCTCCTTCTATTCCTCCTCTTTTGAGATTTGAGCTTCTTTGTTGATTTGCTGCATTTTCAAACATCCGAGCGGTGCAGATGGAGGCTGCAAGCCAATCATCATAATAACATTTTATTGTAAGCTCTAAGTGAAAAGAGAAAAGCAGCAGGCTGGTTTGACAGTATGGAGCAGAGAGAGCGCCAGGCGGCGCCGGTCCAGAGCCGGTCTAGGAGCCGGTCCAGAAGCCGGTCCAGAGCCGGTCCAGAGCCGGTTCCAGAGCGGTTTGTTCACTCTCTGCTCCATTCTGTCAACCTCCATTAATCACCCTTTCATGATGTCTATCCAAAATGCTCTGGTCTGTAAAACACAGAGGTGAAGGTGCTCCGATCAGGGTTTTGGTGCTGATCATCAATCGTTGGTTGATACCAATACTGATCACTCTATTCGTCTATTAGAAGCCATCTGTTTATCATTCAGACTTATTTACTTAACTATGATAAGAGATGATTTATTTAGGGCTGCACAATAAATCGCAATATTATCAAAAATCGCATTATGGCCAAGTGCATTATAATGAATGTGTTAGTTCTGAAGAAGATTCCCTGATACAAATATTGTGTTTGGTCCAGACCCCACAGAGTCACATCAGCAGGATTTTAATGGGTTTCTCTTTCTGTGAAAATGAACATTGTGATCTAAAATGACTCATTTCCACACAATCATGAATCATATCTGTATCTGTTACTGTTATCTGCAAGGGATCACATGAGACCTACGTTCAGCCATTGGCAAACGACTTACACTGGTTGCTGTGGCAACAAGAAATCAAAAGAGTGAGCTGCAGTCTGAATGAAGAGCAGAGATGGAGGAGACTGATGTGTGCAGCCGTGTTTCATGCTGCAGTCACAACAATGGTGATGTCTCTCTCTTGTATCGCAGTGTGTGTGTGTGTGTTTCTCATACCCTCTAAAGTATGTTGAAGCTCCAACACCTGGTTGATGAGCCTCGTCTTCTCTTCCAGCTCAGCCTGGTTCTCCATGTCACCTGCCGCCATGTAAACAACAGTCAAAACCACTGCACTGACTCCGTTGTGGTGTGTGTGTGTGTGTGTGTGTGTGTGTGGTCTCACCATCGTCTGAGCTCATGGTGAAGTACTCGTCTTCCTTTTTGGAATGCAGGGCTGCGATTCTAAGGGACACTGCAAGATTTAGAAAATACCAATGTATCCATTTAGTGTATATATATTTAGAATATTTACCTTACAGCTTTAATGATGGACCAGGAGCCTGTGTGTCTGCACATAAACTCCCGCAAACCTATTCCGCCTAAACATACCGTAATGTACACTGCTGAGAGCTAAATAAATAATAAATGAACACAAAGTGCTATTTAACCTGGTGGTACGCCGAATTTGTCTGAGGAACATTATGAATGAGAAAAAGTCCAAACTCCACATATGTTGTACGTTTATTTATTTATTTTCCAACGGAGTTCCACATTACCACCTGAACATGAGAGGGATGCACTGTCGCTGAATGAGGCTGTATCACATCCAATATGCATTATTCACCTGAAGAACAGCTAACAAAAAACACACACACACACACACACACACACACACACACACACACACAGGGCTGGCGTGTCTTTCGCTTGCTGAAAGTCTTGTGAATCACTGTTAGCTTGTTAGCTAGCCACACTTACGCTGGTAAGAGAAGAAGAGAGCAGCTGGCGGAAAACAAACAAACCCCGACACAGGCCCGCTGCTAACTGGCTAACTGTTAGCATGCTAACAGACGCTAGCCGGGCGGATGCTGTTCAGCCTTAGCAGCAGCACGTATATTACAGCGAATACACAATAAGGTGGGCTCGGACACATAACGTTACCTTACGTCGGGGAAATCAATAGCTGCTGTGCTGGAATGCAGAATCTCGACGGGAATATTACAGGCTTGGTGTAAATTCCACAGCTTGTGTTTGACACCAGCTGTTCAGTCTGTACAGTCCCCCACTATCAGGCCAGTTCACCACACAGCCGCCAGGGGGCACCAGGAGGGAAATAAAAGCAACATACCTGCCTGGAAAAAAGCATTAACAGAGAGATTGTAATGCCTGCTTAACAATGACTTCAGTTGTATATAAGTGGCTGTCTTAACCTTCTAATGCTATTACAGATGCTTCAGTGATGTACAGTGGAAGAACAGGAATAAATTGTAGTTTCTGTGACAGATGTCCAGAAACCTTTGTACTTTTTGGCATTGCCCATATGTGAAATATTTCTGTCAAAAACCTTTGTGGTTTTATTACTGAAAATATGAATTGCCTTGGAAGAATGTATCATTTGGTCTCCTGGAAGATGGTGTACAGAAGAACACGTGTATACATGACTAACCTTATTATTTTACTTGCCAAATTTCATATTCATAAATGTACTGGTGGAAAACCATGCTTCGTTACAATACATTTATTACATTTGATACTCTTTAAAACAGAAAGCAATTAAAACCATAGCAGCCTGTTCTATATTAACATTTTTAATATAGATCCCCCAGCATTATAGTTTTCTTTATCCATCTACTTATGTGTGGACTGTATGTTTGTACAGTTGTTTGTATATTGTTAACCTTTAAAGGAAAATTACCTTACGTTACCTTACTTTTAAGAAAAAATCTTGATAATTGCTCAATGAACCCATGAGCCCATGAACTAAATAAAAACACATTTTATTTCATTAGTCAACCTTTAATTAATAAAATGTGAAGACCACATTTAAGGAGCCACTGTGCAGGAGAGTAATATTCCACAGTGTATGTATTGTATTATGAACTACATTGACACTGGAGTTGCAAACCCATGAACAATCCTAGTTCTTTTCATTGGCCTATTATTTAATTGGTTGTTCAGAGGTCTTCAGAGGTGGATGTGGAGGTACTTGTGAAGTATTCCACGCAGTATTCCAATCAAACCCAGCAGGGACAGAGTGACAAAGACAGCCAACGTCAGGTAAAAACCAGGTAACCTGCAAACAAGATGATCAAAATGCAGAAAGTCACTCATCTGATGCTTCAACTAAAGTCACACATTTAGATATTTTGTAAAAACAATGTGTTGTCAGTTAGATAAATGACCTTTTCTTGGTGGACTTGACATATCCGTTGAAATATATCTGTCGGGCGATTATGTACACCAGTCCCACTGCAGCTGCAGTCCACTCACTGAAGAACATCCCGCAGGTCCACAGTGTCACCAGGAACACTGGGTAACACTCCACACAGTTCTGACTGCAAACACACACAGTCGGCTTTAATGTCACAACAGTTTTGACTGGGCGGGAGAAAGACATGATATGGCAAATAATTTTTTGGGATAGCTGATCTTTAGGGCTGACACTCTGACATTGTATTCTGGCCCAGGTGCAAAAGCTTCTGAAACTCTCAAGCTGCATTCACACCAACTTGAGTCCTGCTTGATAAAACTTCCAGCCCTCTCATTCATTTGAGAGAGTGGCCCAGCAGGGAGGGGTAGGGGGCTCTGGCAAAAACAAAAAAAACCTCGCTGAACTTTTGCATCCAACAAGGCGCTGCGTTGGACAATCATATACAGTGGTATGCAAAAGTTTGGGCACCCCTTAGGAAAATCACTGCATCAGTTTGTCACTTGCTGAGCTTTTGAAGCAGCAACTTCATTTTAACATATGTTATACCTTATGGAAACATCTCAGTAGTGAAATAATTTTTATTGGTCCAACAGAAACATTTTTATGTGCATTTAAACAAAAATAGGCATGTGCATAAATTTGGGCACCCCAAAGAAATAATTCCATTAATATTTAGTAGAGCCTCCTTTTGCTGCAATAACAGCCTGTAGACGCCTCCTATAGCCACAGACAAGTCCCTGAAGTCTGGCAGGTGGTATTTTGGCCCATTCCTCCATGCAGATCTCCTCTTGGCTTCCGTGCGTAGAGAGCCTGCTTCAAATCAATCCATACATTTTCAATGATGTTAAGGTCTGGGGACTGGGATGGCCATTCCAGAACATTGTACTTGTGCTTCTGCATGAATTCCTTGGTGGATTTTGAACAGTGCTTAGGATCATTGTCCTGCTGAAAAATCCAACCCCGGCGTAGCTTCAACTTTGTGACCGACTCTTGAACATTCTTGTCAATGAATCTGCTGAGACTGAGAGGAATTCAATGTGGCCCCAACTTTAACCAAAGGTTTCCAAGTACCTGTGCTAAGCCACGCTGGCCCCATAACATTGATTGACCCTTCACCAAAGTTCACAGTAGGCAATAAGTTCTTCTCATGGAATTGTGTGTGGTTTTTTTCCCAGCATACGTCCTCTTTGTTTCTGACAAAATAACTCTCATCTTAGTCTCATCTGACCACAGTATTTTTGTCAGATGTGCTTTTGCATACCTAATACGACTCTTCTTTGACGAACACTCGGGAAAGGCTTTTTGCGCATCACCCTTCAATGAGCTTTTCCTTGGGTGCAAAGGTACGCTGGATTGTAACGATGGACCAAACTACACCATTCAGCAGGCCAGAGTTCTTGTAGTTCTCTGGAACGTGGTCTGTGGCTTGTCTGTGACCATACTAACCATCCTCGCCTGTGCCTTTCCAGTTTTTTTTGGCCTTACCACATCTTCCTTCACAAGACTGTCTTGTGGCTTTCCATTCTGCCACTACATTTCTGACTTGGAGACAGACAGTCCAAAACCTTCCACATAATCTTGTACCTTTTCCTAATTCATAATAATTAAATTACTTACTTTTTAGGTCAGTGGAGAGTTGTTTAGAGGCCCCCATGTTTGCACACTCTAAGAAAGAACCCGTAGGACAAGCACAGCCATTACCTATGTTAAACAGCCTTTTTCATGATTGGTTCCACCTGTCTTTGTAATTGAAGGTCTCACCAGCTAATCAAAGCAATTTTGTGCTGCAACCTGTCAGCTATAAATCCCTACAGGTCTTGAAATGAATGTGATTAAAAGGGTGCCCAAACTTTTGTACATCCCATTTTTTACATTTTATTTTATTATAATAAAACCATGTAATGCTACTCTAAGAATTTCGGTCTGGAAAACACTCAAATGTCTACATCTCTGTAGGAAAACAAATCTTGTTGCTGTGATCTTCTCTTATAAAGGTAGAGCAAATTATCATGAAATCTCGGAGGGGTGCCCAAACCTTTGCATACCACTGTATGTGCAAATGCAGATTCCTGGTAGATTACTTTGTAACATGAATGTTGTAGTTCTACCATTTACCTCGTGATCATCATAACAAAAGATTGATTTCCACCATGACAACTTCCCAAAGTTGTAAAATTGTGGCTCAGAGAATTATTAACTGCTGTGCGTTTCATTTTTTTTGGCAACTGAGCTTGCAGCTAGGGGCACTATAGCTTGAAACAATAAGAGAAAACTGACCCCCACCATCCGATTTGTCTTGTGCTCAAAACCACTTTAAAACCAGATAACTAAATTTAACTCAAAACATTGCTGAAATTGATTAAATACAACATTTTAAGTGAAGCCAACTCAAGTTAAAAAAAACATTCTTTATCAAGTAGCTTTAGTAATTTTAAGTGACACTTAATTTTGTCATTTTTATTTGTACTGTGAAAACTAAATGGCCAGTAAAAAGTACTCAATCAGGAATGTTTCTGTAACAAGTTAGTGTCACTTAAAATGTTAACAGTGAACATGTTAGCATGGTGGTGTTTAGCAACTGTAGCGGCACCATCGTATTTTATTGTGTTAGCATGCTAGCATTTGCTAATTAAACACAAAGTGCAGTTGAGGCTGATGTCATCGGTATGGAAGACATGAATGTACTACATTTTCAAAGAAATTCTTCCAATAGTAGTAAATGTTTCTACTGCAATTGTCAATTGGTGTCTCTTAAGTAAACCCCAGGCGAACACCAAAGTCAGCAGGTTTTGTCCTCTGGGGACACGGATGTCTGTACCCAATTTAATGGCAACAGACAGGGAATGTTAATGTTTTTCTATCCTTGTGCCAATGTTCTGCAGAATGGTTGTTAATGTAAAAGCTCAATTAAGCATTGGTTAGCATAGCCTTTTAATGTTATTTCAGGGGCTACATAATTGTATAATATAGCTTATGAAAAGATGTCCTCTTACTGTGCGCGGAAAGTCCTCTCAAACTCTGGAGGTCCAGTGACAGAGGGAGGCAGGACCTTGTGGGCCATCCTGGACCAACCCACTCTCTGGGCCAGGTACCCTGGAAAGAGACAGTGATGGCGGGGTTTGAGTCTCTTTGAATGACTCAAACAGAACATTATACTATATTAACCCACTGAGCACAACACTGGACGCATTTTAAAACTACCACCTGAAACACTCCCACCGGGATATGGCGGTGTGAGGAACTACTTCCACTACTGAACAAGTTGCTGACATTTATGGCTCACCCATGTGCAGGGCAGACAGAAGAGACACTGCAGCCAACAAAAAAGGAGAGTCGGTTCCCATCGCAGTCCTGACAATACAGCTCTCCGTACAGTATCTCTTGTATAAAGTCAGCTTTACATAACAAGCAGGAGGTTCTTCCTGGGGCAAAGCAACTTTTCAGGACATCCCACAACAAGTGCTGTCATGCTGTGTTAATAAAGCCCTACCCTGCTGCTGAACACACGAGAGAAGGGTAGGCTGAGCTGAAATGCTTAAATACTAATGTCTGCACCCACTTGGCTGCAGAGCTTTCTGAATACTTCCTGCTGGAATGTATGAATCCTTCTTGCTGTTTATAGTCCCTTCCTGCATTGGCTCTGGATGTTGGTATTGGTTGTAAATTGTGTGCTAAAGGATGATCAAACAAGTTTAGCATGTCTTTTTCTTCACACGTGAATAAAAACATTCAGATTGAGCAAAAAGGAAATTACACTTTAATTTGTTTATTGTATTTTGGTAATATAATTGGTAGTTAGATTAAAGAAGAAAAGAAGGAAATGATAAGTAGATCTATTAAATGATGCCTTTGGATGAAGATACAGTGCAAATTGTCACAGACTTCTTACTGTGTCATAAGTCTGTTTATCTTTTATAGCTTATATAGCTTTAGAAAGATACGTTTATTATCCAATCCAATCCAAAGTCTTAGCTTTTGTATTCACAGGTTCAGAATAATTTATGGTGTTTGGCCGAAGTTTAACCCACAGAACCAGTATTTCACTGGTTCTGTTTTACAAGCCCTATCTACTTTCATCAATCCATTTAAGTTACTACTGCCAGCAAAAAAATGTTACATGGCTGCCAGTGAACATGATGAAGGATCTACAGGAAATTAAAGAGTGTCTTGGTTAGACAGAAGGATTTGGCAAATAAGGACCCACACAATGCCGGATGGATCTGCAGCTGTCCACTATATTTAGACAAAAGTAAAGGATAGCAAACTTGTTTAAATTTAGTAATTGTAATTGCATTATTTAACGGCCCAGTGTGCAGGATTTAGTGGCCTTAAACCGTTTAAATGTATTAACTCAATTTAAGCATGAAAACAGATATGATTTCAGTACAATTAACTCATTCATTGTTAATTAAATTAAGGTAAATTAAGTTAATTGTACTTAAAACCAGCATTTCTCCAAAATTATTTAAAATGTGTCAACAGAATTTATCTGAATAAAGTAAGAGTAACTTAAATACATCTTCTTTATATAAATGTTACCACTTGAAGTTGTGGTTTTCTTCCCCTGAAGCAAATTCTTACATTACCTGTCAAAACTGCTGATATATGATTAAAAAACCATTTAAAAATTAATCCACTATCAAAATTGTAGCCAATTAATTTTGGGGCGTCAAGGCTTACATTATATAATAATATAAAGTCAACTAAAGAAAATGAGTAAATGGAACAAACTGGAATTATATCACAAATTATTAAAACACTGCACACATATAAATGCATTTAAAACAACTGAGATATTACAACAGACATGAGTGACTCAACATTTTTGGGGGATTAAGTTATGTTAGCTTACTTCTTTAATTAAGATATGCTGTTAGGATTTATAGAGTAATGGTGACCCTAAAGATTCTAGAGATACCAAAATATGAGTGAGGAACAAAAACACACTTTAAGCAGCTGGAACATGATCAGATGCCCTTAAATAAGACATTAAGGAAGATAAACCGTTACCAAACCGTCCACTGTGTGGATGTTTCTCTTTAAGGGGGGGACACAGTTTATTGTCAGGTTATTTTACCCTAGGTGACATTCACCATAATTCCATCTAATCTTACCAAAGTCCAATTCTCACTTTATTTCTGAATGATAACAATGCAGGTATACCCTTTCAGATGTTTAACTCTTATCAATATTCAGGCAGTGGAAATTGAATGTGAAAAAAAATAAAATGTAATGGATAAATAAAACATAAATAAAACCACACATCCAAAACAATAAAAAAAACTGTTATCTGTTAACAAAAAACACTTATAACACACATAAATGAACTTATACTAAAATGTGCGCCAATGTATGTCTGTTCCGTGCATTTAAACTTAAGCAGGATCACGTTTGAAGTCGTGCTAGTGAGGCTCGTCAGTTGTCCTGTCATGCCAAGCCCATGACGCCCCATGGGTGACAGCAGCAGCAGTCAGAGCCTGCTCGGTGTGCTCCTCCTCCTCCTCCTCCTCCTCCTCCTCCTCCAGCAGCAGCAGCCTCCTGCAGCCTCCTGCAGCATGGACAGCGATGAGGAGAACATAGAGGAGGCCGTGGAGGGTAAGCAGCGGATTTTGTTTAATTTCTCTGCGACTGACTGAATGTAAGAGAGGGAGGATGTCTCTCTGTTGTGAGGTTCTGATTCTGATGTTCTCCGTAAATCTCCATGAGTCAGTGGGCCAGTGGGCCCGCGCGGTAACTTCAGAGCGCCACGGACTTTATTTCGCCAGGCAATCCGCTCGACGAGCGAGGGAGGGCGGCCTGGGTGACAGGAGTGTCCCGCTGCCAGCCGGCGTGGCTGCTGCAAACATTAGAGTGTGAAATAACAGAAAATGTTACATTTTGGTTCAGTTGTGTAACACACAAATAATTGTGGTGTTTTGATACTTTGTATCTCTTGTATCAACGTTGTTTACCGAGTTTTTGTTAATTTCTGAATTCTGTGCCGTGTCACACTCCTGTTTTTGTCTATAAAACCGAACCCAGACGAGTTTGCCTCTTTTTGAAGGGTTGCCTCCTCGTTGTAAGGCTCTTGGAATGAATCTGGCATACCTGTGGCCCACCAGTATAAACCTACAGAATCTATATTTCCCATCAAAGACAACTTTTGATGTCATCCCTGCCTCACCCGGAAAATGGCCACAAGGGGCAGCTCAGAAAGAATGAGTGTCAACTGCACACAATCTCACACCACTGCTATATTAGTGGTTTCTTTCTATATATGTCCACATTTAACTTGCATATTGAGTTACTAACGCAAGTTTTTTGTGTCTATTCCAGGTGTTTTTTCAGGCCAAGGACTCCTTAGCTCAGAGGTTCCCAACCTTTTTCATAAAGGGCCCTTATCTATCACTGAGTAAACTGAGGACCCTTAATTATATTCAATGCATAACAATACCAGTATCAGAACAAGTGATAAACTGTACAATGAACACAAACAGTGAACACAATAACTGCAGGGAGCTTGTGTAAATGAGAGATTTGGATCCTGTGAATGCTGACAGTGATGCAACTCTGCTGTTTAATCTGGCATGATGTTGGCTACAATGTGTCATTCTTACATGATAGGTTGATATTGTACAATTAGTCCATAACTAGTAACCTTATATCGTGATCAGCGCCTCACATATAACAGTGCGATACAAATCCTTTGTGCTGTGTGTGTGTGTGCTGTGTGGGTGTGTGTGTGTGTGTTCAGGCCCGTTGGATGAAGACGGTCAGCCTCACGGGTTCTGCACAGTAACCTACTCGTCCAGCGATCGTTTTGAAGGACACTTCACCCACGGAGAGAAGAATGGCAAGGGCAAGTTCTTCTTCTTTGATGGAAGGTACTGTAAAGACAAAACGGGAATACATGCCGCCTTTTACCTCAGCCGCTACATTGCCATTGGTTGTTTATCAGAGCGGCGCGTTGTCAACAAACTAACAGTAGTGTCTACATTAAAGAAGCATGTTGAGATGTTCTGGTTTCACAGCATGTTCTGCAGATGGCAACAGTGTATTAGGACCACTGAGAGAGTTCAGTCAAAATGTTGACAAAAATGTCATAATATTATAAATATTTAGATAATAGTATTAATAAGTTAAAATAAGATTTTAAAATATTGAAAAATAAAGATGCTAGTAAAAAAAATCAATTTTAATACTTGTTGAGAGCAGTCTGTCAGCTCTTACGTGTCAAATGAGGGCTGTGATGACCTGAATTTATATAATAAGCACCATATTGTAATATATTAGGATATCAAAATGAAAGGAAGCCACTTAGATGTATATGAATGTACTTAAATGTCCATATCCAGATGTGTTGTGAAGCGCAGTGGAGACTTCCTCCAGACTAAGCCAGTAATAGTGTAGAGATCCAAACACTGGTTCATGGTATTAGAAAAGGATAAAGTGCAGTGGACTTCATGAGTCTTGAAATGATATGAAATGTAAGTATACAGTGCACTGAGTGAACTGTAGTGCTCTGCTGGTAGACCCCATTCAGACAGACACAGTGGCTCAAAGCTGCGTCTGACAGGCACCTAGCCCTGTAAGTGCAGTGCACAGCCGCGTCCCTAAGCTTTTCAATAGATGCAGTGGATCAGATCGTCCCAAACAGGACTAAAAGGCACCTGTGCCAAACAAAGGGGGGCCACTGTAGACACAGACCACAGCTAGTGGTCACACACAGTGTGTTAATGTGTAACCCGACCTACACTGTCTAATCCTCACACTGTTTTCTATCACGTGCCTACTGTATTCATATTTTATTCAGCACTGTGTGTTTACGTGCACACTAATAATTAGGGCCCGAGCACTGAACGTGCGAAGGCCCTATTGTAATTGAAGGAATTCTTATTTTTCCTCC